GCTGGCTGGGGAATTCTGGGAGTTAGAGTCCTTCTCTGCTGGCTGGGGAATTATGGGAGTCAGAGTCCCTCTCGGCTGGCTGGGGAATTCTGGGAGTCAGAGTCCCTCTCTCCTGGCTGGGGAATTCTGGGAATTGATGTCCACCTGTGGTGGCAATAACAATAGCAGCAATAATAATAATAATAATAGTAGTAGTAGTAGTAGTACTAGTAGTAGTAATAATAATAATAATTCATATACCTACATACACATAAATATATGACCCAGAGAAACAGCACAGTCTAGTTCAGATGTGTATATATACATAATGAGAAAAACAAATCTTGTGAGTTTACCAAATGGATGGCATATGGAACAAAGCTGTATGTACTGTATGTGTGTGTGTATGAATGAATGAATGAATGAACGAACGAACGAATGAATGAACGAATGCTGCTCTGGATTTTTTATCTCTCCAGAGTGCAGAGCAACCCAGCATTGGGGGCTCTCCACAAAGGTGGAAACCAACAAGCCACGATCGTGTTTGCAACCGCCCTTTTAAAAAAAGGCGCTGCGTTCAGTCGTGTGGTTATAACCACCCCCTTGATTTTTTCGGACAGAAAGAGAAACCAAGGCCAGACAAACCATCATTCCTGGGTTTGGTTTTTGAGGACCACCCGAAAAATGAACCAAAAGACTTTTTAACCATCTATCTCTCCCCGGCTGTAGGATCGGACGCCATCATCCGACAACACAAGGCGGCTTGCTTGAGGATCACGTCCCTCTTGGCCTGCAAAGATTTGCTCTGGATCGGCACCAGCGCAGGGGTCGTGCTGACCCTCCCCATCACCGGCAACACCGCTGCTTTGAAGACCCCTCCTCTGCCTGTTGGACTGTCCCAAGGCCACACCGGTCACGTCCGATTCCTCACGTCCATTGACCTTCCCGAGGGATTTAATGTCCTTTTTCCCCTGCCAGGAGAAGCAGGTGAGCAGATCAGAGGCTGAGCCAGATTGGATCTAAATCTAGCATGGATTCCGGGCAAGTAGTCCTTGTTTAACAACTGCCTCATTTAGCGTCCGAAATTCACGATGGCGGGGAAAAGGAAACTTCATGACTTTGCATTTACGACCTTAAAGGTTGTGTGGAGTCAAACACGGGACCCCAAAACCAATCATCAAGGCCTAGGGAAGTACAGGCAGTCCTCAACTTGCAACAGCTCCCTTAGTGACTGTTCAGAGTTACAACGGCACTAAAAAAAATGACTTATGACCATTTTCACACTTAGGACGGCTGCAGCGTCCTCACGGGGACGGGATCAAAATTCAGATGACTCATAGTTATGACGGTCACAGTGTCCCGGGGTCACGTGATCCCCTTTTGCGGCCTCCTGACAAGCAGAGTCAGTGTGGGAAGCCGGATTTGCTTAACGACCGTATTACCAGCTTAGCAACTGAGGTCGTAAAATGGGACAAAGCACACACTTAACGAATTTCTCACTTCGCAACCTAAACGCTGGGCTCCACGGCGGCCGTAAATCAAGGACTACCTGTATTTATTATTTTAACAAGGCACACTGGAGGTTATTCCCCTCCAGAAGATAGTCAGAGGAAGTCTTACACACAAGAGGAAACATTGAGATTTATATTTATATTTGTATTAGATTTATTTCGAGGAAGGAGGAAGGAAAAAAATGAGATGCGCAGGGAATAAATGATGCAAGGGGGAATATTCCTAATTAGCAAACCCCAAGTTACAGGTCATCCTTGACTTAACAACCACCGTTCAGCACAAAATTTCTGCCGCTAAGCAAGTCAGTTCTTCAGTGAGCTTTGCCCCATTTTACGACCTTGCTTGCCACCGTTGTTAAGCGAATCACTGCATTTAAGTCAGTAACACGGTTGTTAAGTGAATCTGGCTTCCCCCATTGACTTTGGCTCGTCAGAAGGTCACCAAAGGGGATCACGTGACCCCGGGACACCGCAACCGTCCTAAGTACATGCCAGTTGCCAAGCCTCCGAATTCTGATCACGTGACCAGGGGGAATGCTGCGACAGTCGTAACTGTGAAAAATCAAATGATTCCTTTAATATTATTACATACCAACATCTGCCTATTCCAGGTCTTTGGGAAGGACTCAATAGGTGGAGAAGAGTGCCAAGTCTAATCTAAACATCTGGCTGATTGTGCAGCCAGTCGCAATAATAATGTAGATCTTATACTTAGCTCGTGCAAGAAAAGTGCAGAAACTGATTGCAAACAATGATGTGGTCACAAAAATCCCTCACTGGAACGAACATCTGGGGGGGAAAATATCATGTGCCCATAATGAAAAATTGGTGGGAACAGAGAGTTGAAAAAGTAATCAGAAATGAGGACGTTAAAATATTGTAGGATTTCTGAATACAAACTAAGTCTTGGCACGTAACGCACCAGATTTAACTGTGTGGTTAAACAGTCACTTTTTTCAGTGCCGTTGCAACTTCGAACGGTCACTAAATGGATTGCGAGTCGAGGGCTGCCCCTACGGTGCATTTGGTTTTCCTTGGATAGATTTAGGCTAGCGCGGCGCAGAATTGTGTCTTGATCAACTACATCTCTCTCTCTCACACACACACACCCCTTTTCCCGTACAGGTGTGGAAAAATCAAGCGACTTGGACAAACGAGATTCGACGCGACACCGGCCTTCCAAGTCCAAAATGCTGGTGGTCAGCGGCGGAGACGGCTACGAGGATTTCAGACTCACCAACAGCAGCGAGACCGTGGGCCGGGATGACAGCACCAACCACCTCCTGCTCTGGAGGGTCTGATGTGGGTCAGAACGGGGCGCCCCCCCTGATTGTGGGGCAAGGCAGAGAGAGCAAGAGAGAGAGAGAGACCCGAACGCCCGTCCTCGCCGTTCACACCCGAACGGGTGGAATTTCTTTAGCTGTGCCTCATCCTCCCTCTCGACCGTCTCGTACGGGTGATTGCCACCCGGACCCACGGGGGGCGCCGTGCCTTGAGGAGGATTGTCGCCGATCCCCCGCCGCCGACCGACCCCCTTAGAACGCACCTCCCTATTGCACGCCTCGCGCTTACCGCTGTCTCTGAGTGTAACGGGGAGGCACCCGCGCGCACGGGCCCGTGGGCGCGAGAGGCTGGAGGAGGGCCCGAGGGGGCCACGCCGTCACACGGAGGCCCCGTGGGAAGGCCCGAAGGTGCACCTCCGGCCCCATTTACGAGGGGATAGTCCGCTTTGCCGAAACGATTCGGTGAGACGCCCCCCCCCGAGGGATTGGACCTTGTGTCGATGATGGTCTTCTAAGCCGTCTCAGGAGGCTTCGACGAGATCGAAACCTCGTTCCAGAAATCTGTTCTCCATCCAGCCTCAACGTGCTTGTCAAAAGGAGGTCCGAATCCAGACATCCGCCCTCCTGACCCTTCGCACGCCAGGATCTTCCGATTCTCCGTTTCACCACCATCTAGGGATCCCTCTCCCTCGCCGCCAGGCGACCGATAACTCGAGGGGGGCTGTGTTGCTTGCCCGTGGGTGCGCGCGTTGTGTCTTTTTCGAGTGTTATGTGTAAAATAATCTTTATTTATTGTTGATCGGAGCAAAGAGGGGCTGTTTTGGGCCGCAAGAGAGAGAAACGAGAGGGCTGAAGATGCTTATGGCGCGGACAGATAACGGTCTGAATCATGATTACACGGAAAAGTCCTCGCTTTACGGCAACGGGAGAAATTGCCTCGGTGCGTACCGGACGTTTACAGCCTGTTGCGGTGGAGTCCCTCCAGAGTAGCTGAAATGTGTATGTGTGTGTATGTTTGTTTACCAAGGGCTGACTGGGACAAAAGAAATTGTGGGTGGAGACCGTTCACAAGGCTTTGGACCGGTTTCTCTCAACCTGGGTAATTTTAAAACGGGTGGGCTTCAGCTCCCAGAATTCCCTGGCCACCTGAGGAATGCTGGGAGTGGAAGCCAGAATAATAGAATAACAGTTGGAAGGGCCCTTGGAGGTCTTCTAGTCCAACCCTTGCTCTATAGTATACCATTTCAGATAAACGGCGGTCCAATCTCTTAAAAACTTCCAGTGTTGAAGCGCCCACAACTGGGGTGGGAAATTCTGGGAGAGGATGTCCACCCATGTTGGCTGGGGAATTCTGCGACGTCCATCCAAGCCGGCCAGGGAATTCTGGGAGTTGAAGTCCACCCATTTTAAAATTGCCCAGGTTGAGAAAAAAACGGGATAGTTGCCATACAGAGCAGGCCTACCAAATCCTGACCGTTGCATTGTCCTCGGTGCTTCCTTGCCACGGGCATCAGGGAAGCAGAAGGGAGCAAGGAGGAGAGGGTTACAGCCCCCCCCCCAGCCTTGTACTTTGTACAGTATTTATATTTTGTGTTGTTTTTTTTTAAATGCCAGCTCTTCGCTGTTTGCAGAAGGGGACGAAGAGGCGCGGAAAGGTTAGCAGCACTTAATTTGCAGGTTGCTTTTTGTGGGACGTCAAGGTGGGGACCCTCCATCCCCAAAGGAAGAAATACAACACACACAGACAAAGACACAGACACACACCTCCAAACAGCTGTTGTGTTTGTTATCCTCTGCTGCCCCAGAAAATCAGGAGAGAAGCAAGACTGCAAACGAAGAAAGCAGGAAACCTAGAATGAGGGTCTGTTCATCGCCTGGACTTGGTTAGGAGAAGAAATTGGAAAGGAACAAAAAGAGAAGATTACTGGGGAATTAATGAGAATTTCCAGGCACCCTTCAGGGCTGAATTTTAGACTCTTGTCTGTCTGGTGTTCCTTCGGCCATATGCGTCTTCGCTCATCCGTGTGGACTGGCTGGCATAGAAATCGTGCTAACTCCGGTCGTAATTCGCAACCGTCACCCCTTTAAATCTGAGACCGTGCAGATTGCCAAAGATGCTGAAATGCAAAGCTGGTTAGTGAGCAGACCACCTTTGAAGAATATCATAATCAGTAAGAAGGCAACCAACTTGGATAGCAGTAACTCAAGCCAGACTTAAGGGATCCTCGGTGCTCTCTGAGATCGGTTGTCCCTAAGGCGCTTTTTTTTCCAGGAGGCAACTAAACTTTCTTCTTGTTTTTTTTTTTTGAAGACGTTTCGCTTCTCCTCCCAGAAGCTTCTTCAGGGCAGAGCTGAAGAAGCTTCTTGGATGAGAAGCGAAACGTCTTCAAAGAAGGACAGTCCAGTTGCCTCGTGCAAAAAAGCGCCTTTGGGATAACTATGACCTGGAGGGTGGAGAATCTCCATGGACATCTGAGCTGGGTGGTTTTCTTGCAGACGTCTCGTGACCCAACTAGGTAACATCTTCAGTGCTAGAAGGGAGTGGGGGTTGCAGAGTAGAGGAGAAGGAAAAGGAGAAGAGGAGGAGGAGGACTGTGGGGTCCTTGGTGCTCTCTGAGCTGGGTTGTTTTCTTGCAGACGTCTCGTGACCCAACTAGGTAACATCATCAGGGCTAGAAGGAAGGGGGAAGAACATTCTATTACCAATGATGTTTCTAAGTTGGGTCATGAAATGTCTTCAAGAAAACAACTAAGTGCAAAGAGCACTAAAGACCCCACAGTCGTTGTTGTTGTTGTCGTCCTCCTCCTCCTCCTCCTCCTCTCTTCCTACTCCCAGCACTGATGATGTTACCTAGCTGGGTCATGAAACGTCAGCAAGAAAACAACACAGCTCAGAGAGCACATAGGACCCCACATTCTTCTTCCTCCTCCTCCTCCTCCTCCTCCTCCTCCTCCTCCTCCTCTCTTCCCACTCCCAGCACTGATGATGTTCCCTAGGAGGGTCATGAAACGTCTGCAAAAAAACCACCAAGCTCAAAGAGCACCCAGGATCCCAGTTCTTCTTCTTCTTCTTCTTCTTCTTCTTCTTCTTCTTCTTCTTCTTCTTCTTCTTCTTCTTCTTCTTCTTCTTCTTCTTCTTCTTCTTCTTCCTCTTCTTCTTCCTCTTCTTCTTCCTCTTCTTCCTCCTCCTCTTCTTCTTCCTCCTCTTCTTCCTCCTCCTCCTCCTCCTCCTCCTCCTCTTCTTCTTCTTCTTCTTCCTCCTCCTCCTCCTCCTCCTCCTCCTCCTCCTCCTCCTCCTCCTCCTCCCCACTCCCTTCCAGCACTGATGATGTTACCTAGCTGGGTCATGAAACTTCTGCAAGAAAACAATCAAGCTCAGAGAGCACCTAGGACCCCACATTCCTCCTCCTCCGCTCTTCCCACTCCCAGCACTGATGATGTTACCTAGTCAGGTCATGAAACATCTGCAAGAAAACCACCCAGCTCAGAGAGCACCAAGGACCCCACCGTTTTAACCTTGAGGCTTTGAAACATATTCCCCAGGAAAGATGATTTGGAGCCCAAATTGTGCACTTGCTTCCAGCCTAAATAATACATTTCCTACTACAGATTTTCTTATCCTTTCTCCATATACCTGAAGACGTAAAATCATGCTGTCTTGATGACGGAGCTTCCTAACTCACCAAAACTCAAAAACTTTGGAACTAAACCAAAAATGTAATTTTACCCAGTCGGTTTTGGAACGAGACCGTGGCTCGTTCTTCTCTTGACTTCTGCACTCCTCTGTTATTGCTGATGTTTGAATCCGCGGCACAAAACAGGCACCGAAACACTGGAGCTTAACGTTCAGTTCAAACCGATTTAACCTAGATTTTGTTCGACTTCCGGATTTATTTGTTATCATGGTCCATTTCAAGATACTATTAGGATGGGGGGGTTTGTAAAACCCTCCTAAGTTTGACAATAGTAGCATCACCTCCTTGGCAGAGCTTGAAAAGCCAGCCCTCGGTTTATTAGTACTCGGAAAGGACACCACCAGGAAATCCCAAACAGAAAACAGTTAGGAAGCAGACAGCCGCAAGCGTTCTGTTTTTGAGGCTGTGAAAGGAGCGCGGATGCGCCCGTAGAGTCACCAGAAATTAATCTGGCAAGTATCTTTCTAGAGCACTTTGCAACTTTTAAGCCGGGTGGATTTTCAACTCTTGAGATCTCCTGGTGGTCTCTTGTCTACCCTTGGCTTTTTGAAGAACAAACCACAATCAGATGGCCGTGAGCTTTTGAAGTCTCCTTCAAGTGCTGGGGACTCCGCGGAGACCTTCCTCTTTGTTTTGTTAGCCGCGTCGAAGGGATCTGCCCTTGCCAACTTCTAGAACTTTCCGTGTGAAGCTCTCACAGAAGATCCCTTAACAAAGGCCGGTTCTCCTGAACATTCACACAAAGCCTCCTTTACAAACTGGCCAAGATTTGTGTTGGCCTCTTTATCCATCTCCATTTCCGCGAGGGCCAAAAGTCTTGCAAAGCCGTCCAGCGTCGTGAGCTTTCGGCCATCGCCGTCCCAAGATGGACACCTCCAGTGAAGAGGCCCAGAAATTCAAGATGGACGCCGTCGTTGGGACCGCCATCTTGACTGTTTCGATGTCCTGTACATTATTATTATTATTTTTCCCCCCACTGAGTCTCCTGGCCAAATAGATTTTTGAACATACAGGTAGTCCTCAACTTACGACATGTTCGTTCGCTTAGTGACCAAGTTACGACGGCGCGGAAGGAGGCGACTTAACGATTTTTCACAACAACCGTTGCCGCGTCTCCGCGGTCCACGTGATCCACCTTCAAACGCTGGGCAACCGACTCCTAGTTGCGACGGTCGCAGGGATCCCCTTTCGCCACCTCCTGACAAAGTCAACGGGGAAGGCGGATTTACGTAACAACCGGGTTACTGACTGAAGAAGTTCATTTAAGAACCGTTGGCCGGAAAGGACGTAAAACGGGGCAAAACTCATTGAGCAACTGTCTTGCTTAGCTCAGTTGGCGTCGTAAGTTGAGGACTGCCTGTATTAGCCCCAAACCACTCTAGCTTGCAGAAAGGTTAACGACCCAGAGAATAGATTTAATCCAGGTCAACCTTCACCGTTATTTTCCGTTCTTTTTTTAGACAGGTATCTCACCTGGCCTTTATCCTCCCCTAGACATCCTTTGGAGGTGTTCCAAAACTGTCTCCAAATTATAATTGTCTCCCAGGGTGGAAACAGCAATTACAACATGGTCAGAGGAGACCTCGTACCACCTGTATTTATGCAGCATTTGATCCAATTTAGGGATTTTGTTTCTCCTGGCCTTGAATTCTTGTTTTTGTCTACAGTTTGGTAAGCATGGAGAATCCCTTAAAAGACCAAATGGCAATCCTTGGCTGAAAAGTGATTTCCTAACAGTTCGTAATTTCTGCACGTTGGCAACTTAAAGCAGTGTGGATTTCAACTCCCAGAATTCCCCTGGAAATTCATAATTTCTCCATTTTGGCACCTTGGAAGAGGTGTGGACTTCGAATCCCAGAATTCCCCTGGAAATTCATAATTTCTCCACTTCGGCACCTTGGAAGAGGTGTGGACTGGTTGGTTGGGGAATTCTGGGAATTGAAGTCCACCCAATCTTCAAGTCGCCAAGCTTGAGAAACACAGAAGCAGATACAGTACAAAACAGTTGTTTTTTTCCAGTTTCTAAGATGATTTTATTATTTTTTTACTCTTCTGTACTTCTGGACACCCTGCATCCACCTTGGCCACCCAAGCTTCGTCCTCTCCTCCAAAGTTACGCCGTTCCCCACACCAGAAAGCAAACAGCCTCATACTTTACACCTTGTAACCTAACGAGGAACTTTTTGAGGTCCATCTTCCCGCAATAACTCCCATCATCTACTATGGACACCCCTGCCTTTCATTTTGCCCGTAGGACATTTTTGGCGAGAAAAATAACTTTCTGCCCATGCTCAGAAGTGTCTTCTCCATGACTCGTCCCCCTGCACATGGCTGCTGGATGGGAAGATTTCCAGACCAAACAGCTACACCAAGAAATAAAACTTCCAGCATGGACCCAGCCACGAATGTTGAATCGTCCAGAATAATTTTGCAGGAGTCAAATCACTGCAGATGGCTGAAGGATTCTGTCCGGATTCTGATTTTGTCGTGCCAATAAAGGGAGGTGACATCCAGGCTGGCACAGACACACACCCCCCCAATGTGATTGGCAAATGCATCTTGCTTTTGACCCCTCTTGGTGGGGGTTTCATGGACCCCTTTGTAAATATTGCTATATATATATATCTCACTTCCTCTGTAAATAACCCTTGAGTCTTTTTTTTTTTTTTTTTGATGATGATGATGATGATGATCCAGGCGAATTTAATGGCATATTTTTTATATATCTTTCAGGAGCACAAGCGAGGGTTGTCGGTTCACAGTTTTAAGTTATAATAACACATTCAGCGTTGCGTGGAAGGTGAGAGTGTCGGAGCGAGGAATTTCTTGCCGAAATGTTACCGGTTTTAGCAAGGTGTTGATGTTGTTGTTTGGCGGTGATGATGATGATGATGGATTTGGCTGGATTTTATTTTCCCTTTTTTTCACCACTGTGGGTTCTCGGTCATTAAAAGTCACTGTTGTCAGAATCTGGTTTTGCGGTCCCTGTTCTTTGTCTTCCGAGGGGGAAAAAAAGGGGGTGGATTTTAGATCACCTGTCACCTGAATTTCCGCTCGAATTACTAAATTCTTCTAGCTATGTCTCTGCAGCCCAGCTTGGATAGGAGATGTGATAGGTACAAAGTAAAATAGGACCATCGAGGTACAGAGCCCCCCTATGAGGAAGATGGGCGGTTAAAAGTTTGATATATCAATAAATATAAATAAATACAAGTAAAGTAAAAGTACCAAGTAAAGAACAGTACAGAGAAGCAACCTAGAACACAGGAGAAATTTCCTGACGGTGAGAACAATTAACCAGTGGAACTCCTTGTCTCCAGAAGTTGTGGGCGCTCCATCACTGGAGGTTTCTAAGAAGAGACTGGACAGCCATTTGTCTGAAATGGTCTAGGGTTTCCTGCCTGAGCAGGGGGTTGGACTAGAAGACCTCCAAGGTCCCTTCCAATTCTGTTATTCTGTTTATTTTATTCTCCAAAGCGCCTGAAGGCCGGGCAAGAAGCAACGGGTGGAAACTGACCAAGGAGAGAAGCAACCTGGAACTAAGGAGGAATTTCCTGACAGTGAGAACAATTAACCAGTGGAACTACCTGCCTCCAGAAGTGGTGAATGCTCCAACACTGGAGATTTTCAAGAAGAGATCAGACAACCAGTTGTCTGGAATGGTATAGGGTCTCCTGCCTGAGCAGGGGGTTGGTTGGTCTAGAAGACCTCCAAGGTTTCCAACTCTGTAATTCTGTTATTCTGTTCTAATGTGTGTATTTATATATCGCGTCCATAAAAAGTATTGTTTCGTATTTTGGGACAGTGAGGTGGAAACCCTTGGACTTTGAATGGGTTCTTAATCTGTTTTTGAATCACTTTAATATCAGTTGTAAACAAGAAAGGCAAGCAAAATCCAGACAAAAATATCTAAAAAGTATTTTTCAGAGAGGTAGTTGGTTAGTCCCTTGCAATCAAAACAAGAAAAGGTCCTGTGGCACTTTTCAAAGTTATAATTAATGCCGTGTTTACACAACATGTTTGAACAGGGTGGTTGCAAACATGCTAAGTTTGTCCAGGATTAACCTCAGGTGTATACAGACACACAAATACACATACACTGCATTTCAGATACAACTACCGTGGCCATAAGGATAGGTAGGTTGGTAGGTAGATACGGGTGGAAGGATGGATGGATGGTTGGATGGAACTAGAAAGGGATAGATGGATAGATAGATAGATAGATAGATAGATAGATAGATAGATAGATAGATAGATAGATAGATAGATAGATAGATAGATAGATAGATAGATAGATAGATAGATAGATAGATAGATAGATAGATAGATAGATAGATATGGGTGGAAATGGATGGATGGAACTAGAAAGGGATAGATGGATGGAACTAGAAAGGAATAGATGATGGATGGATGGATGGATGGATGGATGGATGGATGGATAGATAGATAGATAGATAGATAGATAGATAGATAGATAGATAGATAGATAGATAGATAGATAGATATGGGTAGAAGGATGGATGGAACTAAAAAGGGATGGATGGATAGATATGGATGGATGGAGCTAGAAGGGGATAGATGATAGATATATAGATGGATGGATAGATAGACAGACAGACAGACAGACAGACAGACAGAGATAGACAGACAGACAGACAGATATGGGTGGAAGGATGGATGGAACTAAAAAGGGATGGATGGATAGATATGGATGGATGGAGCTAGAAAGGGGGATATAGATATATAGACGGATGGATGGATAGATAGATAGATAGATAGATTAGATAGATAGATAGATAGATAGATAGATAGATAGATAGATAGATAGATAGATAGATAGATAGATAGATATGGGTGGAAGGATGGATGGAACTAAAAAGGGATGGATGGATAGATATGGATGGATGGAGCTAGAAAGGGGGATAGATGATAGATATATAGACGGATGGATGGATGGACGGACGGACGGACGGACGGACAGACAGACAGATAGATAGATAGATAGATAGATAGATAGATAGATAGATAGATAGAGCTGGGTAGGTAGACATTGATGGATAGAGATGGATGGATGGATTTTCACATAACTCTTGCAGCCTCCCCATGGTCACCTGATCAAAATTCAGAGGCTTGGCAACTGGCATGTACTTAATGACGGTTGCAGTCTTCTGGGGTCCCGTGATCCCTTTTTGCGACCTTCTGGCAAGCAACGGCACCAGGGAAGCCGGATCCACTGAGCAACTATGTTACGGGCTTAACAGCTGCAATGCTCCCCTTAACAGCCGGGGCAAGGAAGATCGTAAGCTCCCTTCACACCCGTTTGGCTTCACAGTGGAAACGTTGTCGCTGTACAACCACCGTCATTTTATCCCAAATGCAGCAAGGGAAGGATTTGCAAGTCCTGGAAAGCTAGGAAGTCCATTTTAGTTTTATTTTATTGATCGATTAGCCCTCAGGCCATATTAAAAGTGCAAAGTCCCCGAAACAAATTTATGACTAAAGTTTGATAAAATGCAATTTAAAAATAAAACGGGAATAAAACAAAACGAAATGGGAATAAAATACAGCCTAAAATGAAACGGGAACAGGATACAATAGTTTAAAATAGAGATAAAATAGGATAAAATTATATTTCGGGGCTCACCCCTGCAATCTATCCCCATCAATTTAAAAGATTGGATTTTGCTTGCCCCGCCGATGCGGCGTTCCCCCTGCCTTGGCACCAAACAACGAAACAGATGTACATTGTTGTGCTAATAGTGTCAAGTCTGCTGGCAAAGGACCAAGGTGGTTGTGTTTTTTTGCACAAACAGGCCTGTCTGTCTAGGCATCCCTCAAAAAGCCCGCCGGGGGCACATTTCTTCGGTAAACTTGTCATCAAAGGAGCGAAAACAAGCCTCCGGGTGTAAAACCCATATTTTTAATAGCTTTGTCGGAATTTCCAGTCACAATAAAAGCTGTTTACGCTTCCTGCTGGACAAACTTTTTGCCCGAGTAAGCAAAATCTCCTGGATTTTTGGAGACTAAATGAAAATGGGAACACAACTCTGAGGGGGGAAAAAGGCTTTCTCGCTTAATTTTGAGGACTGGGTGAGAGGGTCAGACAGACAGTCCTCAACTTACGACCGGTCGCTTACCAAGCTTTTGAAATGAACAAGGGACATACTTTGAGCTACTTAAAGACCAGGATCCGAAGTTCATGGGGCTGCACTTTGGGTGTTTGATGGCCCTTTGGGGTGTCCGACAGTCCAGTAACTACGTTTTACGATGGTTTTGCTGAAAACTGACATGTACAGGTAGGCCTTGACTTACAACACTCATTTTGGTCACCATATCACAAAAAAGAGGTTGAGACTTTGGAAAAAATTCAGAGAAGAGCAACTAGGATGATCCAAGGCCTGGAGGCTAAAACATATGAAGAAGGGCTGCAGGATTTGGGTCTGGCTAGTCCAGGGGTAGGCAACCTTGGCCCCTTCATGACTCGTGGACTTCAACTCCCAGAATTCCTGTGCCAGCATGGGGGAACTATGGCCCCTTCATGACTCGTGGACTTCAACTCCCAGAATTCCTGAGCCAGCATGGGGGAACTATGGCCCCCTCATGACTGGTGGACTTCAACTCCCAGAATTCCTGAGCCAGCATGGCTCAGCTTGGAAATCTCTCCTTTTCCC